TAGTGCAAAAAAGTATGCCATTCGCTCAAAAAAGCCACGATATAAAGTTTTATCCTAAACTGTATGATTGGGTCTTAACATTTTAATCATTTGCATGGGAAGTTTCACATTTTCTTCGCTGCTCTAACGGGCTGAAGCTCTATGTACAAAAGAGCACTTCTAAAACCAAACTTCTTATAATAAACTTTGTGTCTTTCGTTTCTAAACCCGTCGTCCAGTAAGACTGAATCTCCTGTCACGGACGGTATCAAACTGTATCGCTACAAAAACCTTACACAACACTGAATAAAACCACCGCATGTTTTTATGGGGCAATAAAATGCTTTCCGCATTGCGTAGCGAAAAAGAAGAGGAATCGTAAACATTTATCGTATTCTTCCGTGTGCATCGTTCCATCAAGGAATTTTCGCGGCAATTGATGAGAGATTTTACAGCGCGTATTATAGCTTTATAGACTATATCAAAGTAATAAAGATGTATCATTAGGAAATCATCGGTTTATCTCACGAAACGGAAGTTTTATTTGGAATGTTTGTTGGAAGTGCGAGCACCCACACTTTAGAAAATATTCGTTTTCAGATGCACCTGGATTATCCACCGGTGCTGAGTTAGCTGTGAGTGCTTTGCGTGATCGCGTGCATTCAGCTCTTTACCAACACTGTGCGGATACCTACGAATCTACTAAAGCAGCAGGTCGTCTTGCAAAGATTCTCCTGCTGCTCCCGCAACTCTACGTATGTTTGTAATTTTCGGACTAGAATCAATGGAATATTGAGAAGTACCATACTGCATTTCATCACAAGTTTTTCTCTCAGGCCGCTAAATCGGAACGTAATTCCAAATTAGTGACATTAATGACCTTGAAGTGAACTTGTTATTCCAACTTTTTCTTCATGTATCATAATGGATCGTAGCCACGTGATTTGGCATAGCGCCGGTAACATGATACAAATTAGGACACATTGGCGTGCGTTATTATCAATGAAAGCCGGCTGCATTGAAATGTTTCGAATTACTCACATAGCGGGAACTAAATCCTCAAAAGCACGTCGTTTCTGCAAATTGACAGGCTTCACAAATTAGCTTTTAATCGAGGTCCAGCACTACCTGAACATTAAAAGAGTAGCTGCATAGCGATTCTGATCTCTTATGGCAGCATTGTACTTGGCAAATTTTTCAAATTCTTTGGCAGTATTTGGTCCAAACCGATATATGAACAATCTCAATACTTTCTGTTAGCTAGCAAATATTAACATACTTTGCCAGCAGAATATAAATAATAACTC